GATCACCAAAAATAGTAAGATCCGTCCAAACATCAAGTTTTGTGGAGTTGCCGCGCAGTGAGCTGATTATTGAAATCTATAGATAAAGCAGTAGAAAAATATGTGTAAGGGAAAATGGAGCCATCCTATTGGTGGAGGCGGGTGGCTACATGAACAAACAAGTTAAGTAATAGACTGACTTAGTACAACCGACAAGAGCCCCTTCAGTTAGTCCATCAGTTTCCCCCTTAGCCTATAGGAACAACCTTTGTCAACCAATGAAATCGCTTCATACGCCCCTATATCTTCTTTGACTATCGCTTTGTCTGTCGATTTCAGTAATCAACCCGCTGAGATGATACTGCAAATTTAAGTTTTTTCCTTTTGGAGAAAATTATTACCAAAACTTTGAAACGTTGAGCAAAAGATATGAAACATCGTGTAGCTGCGAAAGCTGTACAACATCGATTTTTGCCCCTTCCTCTCTCAGAATTGAAGACCCAAGATCAATTAAAGCCGTGGATGCTAAATAATTCCGCAACTTTGGGATGAAGTTACGTCGCTTCGTCCGGAAAATGACGAATTTTCTAAAGGTTTGGCACTATTTCGCAAAATTATGATTAGGGAGTTATCAGATGCGCGGCAACCTCCTGTACTCCAAGTCATTTTTCCATGGCCTCGCATTTTTGCGGCCACCGCACCAACGCGAACGAAATTTATCTTAGTGCTCGCTCAAATTTATTCGCGTGCAGTCTCGTTAATGTGAATGATATTTGATGCACCGTTGCTACATTTGAATTTTAACCTCGATAAGCACGGTACTCACCCCTGCGCTGCTAAGTGCTGAAGTATTTTTTGCAATTTGACACAGAGCTGCTTTTTATGCCACGTAGCACAGCACTTTAGGTTTTCAATTTTTTTTTTAAAAAAAAAAGACCAGATGAAGCTCGTGGCTGCTGCGCAAATATTGCGTCAAATGCACCATAAAAACCTGTAAAAACCATAGAGGCGTCGTGCAAATATTTGCTGATCAGTATCGAACGTCAGCCTGTAAATATATTCGGGTTTAAAACGAATGTATTTTTAACTGAATTTCTGAAGAGAAGATTATTCTAAATAGCAATGTAGCAGGTGATGTTTTTGTCACATATTCTCAATTCCATCCTCGAACTTTCAAATTGTAACTTTTTAAGTCATATGCATTTGCACTTTAAAGCTATCAGTAATCTCATATCTACTATTTTTAAAACCCACCTCAAAATAGAGGATCTTAATATTCTAAGTATTACATTTACAAATTCTCTGCATGAGTTTATAGAGTTGGTATCCCAAAGGTTTCCACATTTTGTGAGGCCAAGCAGAAAATATCCATAAAATGCCAACCGCACTCCAACAACTATCGTAATGTATAAGTTGCTTTTCGCAAGGGAATATTAGCGCATAAGGTTTCTGTTGACTGATAAATCTCCGATTCTTTTTTTCCGATTTTTAAATCAATGCAGCTTGTTGTCAATGCAAATATTTGCCGGCGTGAAACACAGTTTTGGTCGTTGAGCATTTATCAGATTGTCTCTGCTAGAATGAGGTATTAGTTATCATAGTTGACGTTGGGGAATGCTCCTACTTATTCAGATATATATGCGATAAATGAATAAGCCCAAAGTAAGCAGCTTCTGCTGCGCAGCGCCACTGAGGCAAAATAGAGTGCCTACAATTTCTTGGATATGCAACATGGCTATCCACAAGACACGAATAGTTGCATCCCGTTGTTAAGATCCGTGTAACGTTGCGTTGACAGTCGGATTTTAGTCGGAAACTTTATACTATGAGACTTTCCCTTTTTTAAGAGCTCTTTGATGCATCAATGTCTAATTCGCTAGGCTGAAAGGATATTTGACAAAGTGAAATGCATTTTCGTTAGCATTCATCTGTTTTAAAATATCATGACCGTAAGCAGTCGCTTTTCGATATGAATTTGCTCACAGAAGTCTGAGACTATTACTTTGCTATTTGTATCAGCATATCAAAAATACATGCAAAAACATTTTGGTTTTCGGTTTTTGGTTTGATTTATTGTGCTCAATACTGGAAGCCTGACAAACAGAGCTATGCCTCAATGTTCGTAGAAGAAGAAGGAGAAGAAGAAGACGAAGAATATACTCAGCGGATTTACAAGAGGGAATCCGCGTAACGAATGTCCCGACATTCATCATAATCAGCTGCCATTTCTAATCAGCGATGATAATCTGTGACTACCAGCCCTACGTCAATCGATTAAGTCATCGATGGAGCGAGTGTTTTTGTTCTTGGGTGCTCGTTAGGGCATCTCGGTTGGGGGTTGCTCGGTGAATGAAACGAAGGCAGGGTCATCGCTGCTTTTGCCGGGCCTCGAGGTCACCCTGGCCACGGAGGCGCCTTGTGCCAAACTCTGGCTCCATGATCTACATTGTGCACAATCGCGGGCCATCTGATCGATATTCTGGGCACCTGAGGGCGTCGACATAAAGACCCCTTGTTTGCCGCAAATGATAGGATCACGCATGACATGACGAGCTTAGCTGCGGCTCGACCTTTGACTAATTCCGTCTCAATGCTACCGTCTTGAAATATTAGACTATTGAGTAATATGTATCGCGAGGAGGCGGGATATCCTGCGGGATGCTGACCCGAAATCTGTGGCTGATATAGTGAAAAAATTATAGAGGTTACAAGCTTCTTTAACGAGATATGCTTTTGACCTGATGAAAAATTGGAAATAATTTACACTGGAAATAAAAGTCTCCTGAATCTAAAGTCCAGAATTTAAAAATTTGACAAGAAAAAATACTCTTGATTCAATCGTATTTGAGGACTTATCTGTAACAATAGCGGATGTGAAAAATTACCTTTTCAAAACACATTCAAAAAACTATTTTGGCATCGAGAAAATTTTGAGAAAATACTTGAGATGTGATCTTCAAGATCTGTACATTATGCCAGAGCCAAACATATTAAATTTTTGGGTGAACAAAACAGTTTTTTAAGCGTGTTTCTAAAAGGTAATTTTTCACATCCGCTATTGTTACAGATAAGTCCTCATGTGTGCTTGAATCAAAAGGAAAGCCGTTTAAATTATAACCTTGGCTCTCAATAGAAGCAAAATTGCGATTGAGTCAAGAGCATTTTTTCTTGTCAATTTCTTTAAACGTCTGGGCACTGGATCCACAAAAACTGTTTTTCTAGTGCAGGACACTCCTGAACGTGAAGAATGGCGGTGGCTTTTTTGGTATCGAGTGGAGCTTTGACGTGGAGCTATGCCTTTGACGTAGTAGTTTTACTGACGCAGATTATGAAATTGGGAAAATTTCAGAATTTTCCGATGCGGGTATCGTGATTTTCAAGCCATTTTCCTTTCCGAAGAATTCCTGTCCTCATCGTTCTAGTCAAAGTTTGCATTAAACTCATTGTCGCTCTGAACAAAACTGGAAAAATGACCATTCTCCCGGACGCAGACAGGGACGGTGGCTATAAAAAAAGAAAAATCATTTGTCTAAGTCCGAGAAAAACTCGCAGCATTTTTCCCCCCCTCTATATTTTGCGACGCGAACACACATTATCCAATGCAATCAAGGTCAAACCGATTGGGCCCATGAGCCCATGGGTGTGCTGTCAGAGAAAAAAACGCGCACTGCAACTGATCGCCCATAAAGTTTCTTTCAAGCCTCCCTCTTTCCCCACCATCCCCAGGACGCCGTCCCTTCCTGCCGTCGTGTATTTTCCTCTCACGGGGCGCGAGTAGATCCGTGTCAGCGAACCTCGTTCATTATATTTTATTTCGCGCTACTCCGTCGAGGTGACAGAAATTGGCTCGTTATCTCAATTAAAACAATAAAAACGCGAATTTTATCTATTAATCAGGACAAAATGATCTAGGACAGCAGGAAAAGAACAAAAAGAGAAGAGGAGGAGTGAGCCTGGGCCGCCTACTGAACGTCCAGCCTTAATTTTGTTTCGCTGACGTAAGAGACTAACCCTTCCGTTACGTTAACCGTAGAACGCATTGACTCATACGAGAGACAGGGCTCATCTTAAATTCATTTACGCCCTCGCATTAGAGGGGTCACGATTTATTTCGCTGTCTGTGAAAATTGTCCGTTTTCCGGGAGGTCCAACGGGGGGCTGAGCCGTGTTGCAGATTTTTTCGGGTTCCCTGATTTTTCGCAACGTTTCAACGTGAAAAATTTCGTTTCAATCTCAACGTTTCGCAACGCTGTTGCTAACTATCGTCTAGACGCTAGGGACCAAGATGATTTGTACGACGGGCTTCCTTTAGGCTGTTCACTGCTGATACGTCTCGATAAGGTGGATGCGAGTAAGTTAAAAATACTTCGGTACAATAACCCGATTCCTGAAAAAAAATGAATTTGTAGTCGGTGCCGTACTGTTGAGTTATTTACTGCTGCAAGATCAAAAGAATCGGCAAGTCTCTGCTTTTAATAGAACAATCGCAGTAAAAGTAGAATAAGGAGAAGGTGAAATGTCAGAAAAAAGTTGATGAATCTTGAGATGAGTATCAACAGAAACGTTGAATTAATGTTGCACTGTTTGCCAGGACTTTGCGGCATTATGGTGTACTTCACGGACGGTAGAGGTTTTGTGTGGTTGCATTTAATTGACTGTAGAGCTGAAGAGCTGAAGCTTTACAATTTTTTGTTGCATTACTTTTGGGACACGAGAAACATTTAAAATACCAGTTTTGCATTGATTACTACTGATGAGCATAATATTACGTATGTTTGCTCTAGCATGATCTCGTCGTATTTTAAAAGGATGTTGAAATTTGATCGAATGCTTTTCATAAGGAGCGAAAAAGCAGTTCCAAACTTAAATACAAATTGTATTTATTGGTCAGTGCCCCCTTCATTTTTATTCCTTTGGCTTGGTCATGCGATTGCTCGGTACATTGTAAGAAGGATAACCAGCCCAAAAATTAGAGAGACGAAAAGAAAAAGGTGTAGAAAATTACAATAAAAAAATGTGTGATGCTATGGGTGCTTTATTCATCCAAAAGTTAAATAAAATCAGGACAAAATGAGCAGGTTCTGAGTTGAAATTATTTTTAGTCAGTGGATTCGTTCAAATTGATTTTCCGGTCTGAATTTTTCTCATCTGAAAGGTTGGGGCATTTCAAAGGTAGATTTTTGAAGCTTGAAATTAGGCCTGGGTTTTGACTTCTTCTGAAGCCTTCTGGACTGCGGCGGTGAGGGCGGTTGCGTTGGGGATGGTGGCTACTTGAGCCTTGAAGTCGGCGAGGAAGGTGCTCTCGAGTTGCTTCAGGGAGTCGTAAAATTCGCGGTATTTAGCCTCCACTTCCTCAGCCCCGAGTCCCTTGTTGGCGCCTTTCCCGTGGAACTCTTCGAAGTCAGCTGCGATCTTTTGACCTTTCGCGAGGAGATTGTCGATCATGTCACCTAGCTCTGAAAATGAAGGCAAAATGTATCAAGTGACGAGTTTCTAAAATTAATGAGTTGCGCACAGACGTATTTTATTCGGAAGTTGTTCATCTATGTGGAGTTTTCACGAAAGAAACAACTGAGTAGCTTGTTCTGAAAAGTGCCCAACTCAGAAATAGTAAAAGACAACCGGTCTTAGCCAAAAATTTCCATGGTTGGAATAATTTTTTGGCGCATATTAATCAACCCTCAGAAAGAACCTTGGAGCTTTTGGAACAAATGGTACAATATGAACGTGAGTTAACCTTGGAGTTGGGCATTTTCCGAAGCAAACCCTCAGAAAGAACCTTGGAGCTTTTGGAACAAATGGAACAAATGGTACAATATGAACGTGAGTTAACCTTGGAGTTGGGCATTTTCCGAAGCAAACACAATTCGCGCCTACTTTATTATAAAAAGTTGGAAAGAAACAAAATTTTTGAAAAAAATAGGAGGTATCTGTGACCCTAGAAACAATTTCCCTTTTGAAATGAAATCGAATTTTTGGTTTTCTGAGTTGAGCAGTTTCTGGAGCACGATATAATCAATTTGCTTCGAGGATCCTCATTTGATTTCAAAATGAAGATACGATTTACAATTTAAATATTCTTGGTAAGAGAGCAATGCTAATTAAAACAGAAAAATCAAGAAAGAAGGAGAAACACACTCTGATTAATTCTCGAAATAAGTGTCTTTTCAATATTAACAGAATTCTATGATTTTCAAACTTTAGTGAATGAATGTTCGAAAATAATTATCTTAATTTAAAAAAAGAAAAGATAGAAAAGAAAGAGTCTCTCATTACGATGCGTAGATATGCATTAAAAACAAACTAGGAATCAATTACCTGGTTTGGCAGTAATGTAGTTGTTCATTGCCATTTTGAACATTTCTCCCTTTTCTCTCAAGTTCTTGAGCTCGGTGGCTAGCCATTCCTTTTCCTTCTCTGGCAGAGCATTTGAGGTAGGGGCTGCCAACAGTCCCTGCAACGTGAAGCAAATATTTTTGTTTTCGTGTTTTCAGCAGTGGCGAGGCTTGTATGGTCGATTTTCGATACTTCCCCATTTGAAGCTACGGTAAAGAATCAATCATGAAGGTGTTCATTGCAAACACCCTAATTATCAATCCTTCCCCATATGTTTAAATGGCAGATCAAGCAATATATCGCAAAGCTTGCCACGACGCTGGTTTTCAGATAAGGCTAGCTGAAGAAGACTCTCCATATGTTACTTTTTTCTCAACACTTTTTGAAAAAAGCTTCATTGACGTAGAGACGAGCATAGTATAGAGGGTCAATTTATTGCTAGTATTGTTAGTAAATCAGTCCTACTTTTGGCGCATTTTTACAATAATTTACAGAAAAGAAGGCGATTCTTCTCAATCAAAGTATAAACCCTCATACAATCTTTAGACGGTCGGAACGATTGCATGGGATATAAAACAAAAAAGAGAAATAATGTAAAGAGTTTTATGATAATCATTAGGTAACTTACACCAATCTTACGAAAACTATGCGAAAATGTTCTGTAACCCCTGATGCTAGAAAATATCTCCGTCTAATTATTTTCTGTTCCCTCTATTCTAATTCTAGAAAGTACTTTCATGAGGTTTAGAGGACCTACAATCATGTTTCCGGTATTTTCAGACCCTTTCAACCCCTACGCCTCCGTCTTTTTAAAAATAAGTTGATTCCACGTTGAATTAAAAAATGAAATATGCTATTTCATGAGTCATAAGGAAATTTTATATTAAAAATGTTTGAAACTTTATATTTTCTCTGGCTTGGTCGGAAATTAATTTTTTATGATAACCTTTATCCAAATGTATCACAAATAACTGATGTGGACAAAACGCGTTTTGATTCACTTGTAAATAAATTACAGTCTATCATTACCTGGACACAAATGATCGCGAACACTAAAGGAATTTGGTAGTTCATGATTGCACAGTGAGGTAAACTGAAAATTCAGCTGAGCGTTTCGGTTCTAGTCACGAAATGTGTCAGAAAACGTGAAAATTGCAGATTTATACCAGTTGGTTTTCACGCTCACTTCGCCTTACGTGTATCCCCTTTTCATCGTTTTCCCCTTGATTTTGTGACGAATTGCAAATGCTCCACTCGAAAAAAATTTGAAAATGAAAAAAAGAACCTCATCAACTATGATTCATCCTGCGTGCAAAATCGTTTTTTTCAGCAGTTTTCATCGCTTTCCCTGGCATTTGATCTGGAATATTCCGCACTTTAAAGTCACTGTCGTCAGTCGTCCCCTTGAGCTTTTGATTGACAGGCGATTTCGCGTGTGATGAAAACTTATTCAAAGTCCAATCAAGAGATGTCATTAAAGCACCAACGCGTTGAATTTTTTTAAAAGGTAAAGGCCCAGCAAGATCTTAAATAGCTATAACGAATCCATATTTTTGAGGAAAAAGTATAATATTCCGTGAAGCCCTGAGATAACAGAAAATACTAACAACGCGAACCCTCTTCGTGGATACCTATACGTTCTCTTTTTCGAAATATAATCATAAAGTCCGTCTCAAAAATTGTGAAACTTCTTTTTACACAAAACTTTATCAGTTTTCCAATAAAAATTCAAGCTTTTACGAATATTCAGGCTGAATAACAATTAAGAGGAAGTAATGATACTCTCCATTATTTATCGACAATACTTCCTCCTTTGTTATTGATTTTTACTGAAAGGCTTTGCAATTTAATTCACATTGCTTTTATTCAAGTATGCTAAACTTAAATTGTTCCATTTTCAACTAAGGTATAAAAATCAATTAACTACGCAATTTCATTGTAGTAGTAGCGCTCTACATCCTATTGCCTTCAGCACGGTTTTATTTTCGAGTGGAGGGTGATTTGACTGAGTTGGTTTTTTATTGATCAGTGATTAATTATTAATTAGTTGTAAAAAAAGTATGGATGAAACTGTAATGGTTGACTATACAGACAAGGGCTGTTTACTAAATATATATAACGCTTTAGAGGGAGGGAGGTCTAGGAGAGCGTCACACTTCATTTTTACGTGTTTAATACAGGGACGTTAAAAATCACTGGGGGGGGGGGCAAAAAGCCGAAATGTAGCGTTATACCTAAACCAAACTTAGTTGCGCACCCACTCTCACATCAAATGAATCATCAGCATCAATGAATTTCATAGAACTATTTAAACTTTTCCAATTATTTTCGTATCGTGTTCGTTTTGACATCTCTAAAAAATAACCATCTTCAGACTTAATCGACATAGCACTTCCATTCGTATTGCAAACACATGTCAGACCGAAAAATTCATCGGCATTTTCAAATCACCGTGATGACAGCGATGATAGATAGAGCTTCTGCATGCAATATCATCTAAAAACGATGCATAGGGTATAATTTCGGATGTGAAAGCTATAGGAACGAATGTTAATGGATCGCTGATGAGATATCACTAATGGGTTTAGCCTACGTCTCTAGGAAAGACACGACATTTTTATGGGGGAGATGTGATGATTTTGCCAAGACATTTTAATTAAAATCCGTCATGCACAATGCAGTAAATATGGAGCTTCACAATTACCCAATATATAGTAATATTTATATATTAATATATAGTGAAAGGTCACTTAATACTAATAAAAAAAGAGGGGAAAATATAAAAAAATATATACATAGTGATATTTATAGTTGACAAACGGCGGATATAACGGAGATAATAGATTATTGCAATTTGTGTATAAAAATAGGGTTGTGTATGTAACTAATTGTGTTAATCTTACACTTCCTTACTCGAAAGAAATCATGTAAATTACGAGATATTTTACCATACTTTTTTTCAGTTCTCCCCAGAAATTTTAGTGGGTTCATTTACTTTTAAATTTTACATCAACACGCGAGGCTGCTGTTTCTTCGAAGTATTTTAGTTCTCGGTTCATTTTTTATCGGTTCGCGTTGCGTGTCTAACCATGCATCTTTCCTGTAGTGCGTTCCATCAACTGACGTATTACGTCAACAGAGTGCTTTTAACGCTCAACTTTTGCCTCGTTATTTTCCCGATGATTCCTTTGCATTACTTTAAAGTTTGCAATGCATGCACTGGCATTACTAAACTTGAAAGTCAGGTGGTCAGATTGATTTTTACCCTCGATTAGTTTTTTAAGTATCAATCAATAAATCAGAACGTGATCAGTCATAATTGTGAGTTTTTTCGTTTGACAAGATGTGAAAAATCGTCACATATGTGCTAATAGACCACCAGCATCGGGGATTTTAGATTTATGTGGAAACTATCGAGAAGGATAACCGAGAAAACTCGTAAGCTCCACTAATAAATTCGATAAAATGAATTACACTCTCATCTTCTTGAGGAGTGCATTTCATTTAACGAGGCCATACGTCTGGATATTTGCAGTATCAATGGCTGCGATTTGACTGCTAAAGGGCATGCAAAAAAGTCACTAAATCAGGACAAAAGGTTATTTCGGTGTTCTGTGGTCGGCAAAATGTTGATCAGGCATAACGATCAGGCACGTAATCAATTTAGTGACTGAGACTTTGACACGCTTCCAGCAGGCCATTCCGATTTTTGCGAGTCATTCATAATGGTCAGCGCTGTGCTCTTTCCAGCGCAGTTCCTGAACTTTCGAATCAATAATTGTTCGCACTAGCGCGGCGGATGAGGAGTGATAAGAAACGGGCGCAGGGGAGGGTCAAGAAATATTATGCAAGATGCTTAATTGTATGACGTTTTGCTTCTTCGAGTAATGCAAATTTCTCTTCGTAAGGACTGGGTGCCTTGTTGCATGATTTTACGGTCGCGTCTCTCTTTTAGAGTCTCGTGGAGTGAACGTGGTAAAGTACCCATACGTAAACATGACGCACAAATTCAGAGACAGTCAATATTTGTATTCACCACCCCCGATCGGAACTGTCCGAGCTTGTATAAACCTTCACATTTTCTGCAGGTCTATCTATTTTCTGTCTTCAGAGAAATGTCGGAGAATATCGAAACATACTTTTAGGTGTTTTTCATACCAACCAGCGATGAATAGATATAGGCATTGCTTAACAGGCATTGAACTTACTGATTTTTTTTTTTTTTTTTTTTTTTTTTTTTTTTGTAATTACATTACATCTTATTTCATTTGGAAAACCTGGAAAGCTGAATGATCTCTTTACTTCACCGGCAAAATTAAAATAACCGGTTCATTAGTATGAAAAAGACACACCATGCAGAAGACATACTCTCCTCCTGAAAATTCAGTGTCTTCATTTTCTTTATCTTACACGGGCCGATTTGATGCTAAAACAAACAATCCTTGCTTGTTCTTTAGACTCATCTTTTGACAGACGCTTTTAACGCACCTGGAGAGGCGATAAAAGAAAGACCTGGCCATGAATTGGAAATCGAAAGGCAGCCAGATCATCTGCGTTACTATTTCCCGATGACTTAAAAAATCATGAAAGCTGATCCGATACTGTCGTGCTAAGGAAATACACCGTATGAGCCTTCAGGCGTTGCCAAATTGCCTCTGATAAAACCCGAGTTTCCTGGTGAACTTATGAATATTTTCCTTCCGATTTTTCAGATGATTTTGTTCGCAATTTCACCGAAAGTCCCGGAAAATTTCATGGAAAAACATTCATAACTTTCCTCAAAAATACAAATTTTGTTTAAGGTTTGGTAACTCTCGAATGTTCATACGACGTTCTTTTTTAGCGCGGCATAGTAGACCGCTGGATATTTCACACAAAAGTATTTTTTCAAATTTCCCAATGTGACGGAATGACCTCGATAAGGTCCATGGATAAATAATGGCAGTGTGTTACCTGCGGATATGTTCATCTCTTGAGGGCACTAGATTTTTTTAAATCAAAAACCCCATGGAATATTGATGGTGGATATCGACAGTGAAACTACCAGACCTAGTATCTCGGATTGCGACGGTTGCAGACTTCCCGTCGCACTTCATTTTTTAAGTAAGAAACTACCGAACGTCAATTTTGAAATTTCCCGTAATTTTCGTTTTCTGCGAGAAAAAGACTCAGATTAAGTTTCAAGAAATGATATTGATCCGTTTTCTTTCAAAAAATATAATAGGAACGAAGATTTTCAAACGCCGCAAACGAAGCGCGTGGTCTGGTAGTTCCACTTTCGATATGCACTTTGATCCAAGTAACGATCGAGCAGAGACAAGAGACCCTCCACTGGCCTCCTAGCGACAGGTGGAAGCTTTTACTTTCGGGGTTTCAATAATTCTTTATGGACAAATATTAGGGAGCAACAGTCGAGAGCCTTAAGCCCTGGATAGACGATCAAATTTCGAACCAATTCCGATCAAAGTAGACATGCTGATGACTGATGGTCACCATCTGCCATCAAATTTTGACGGGCCGCACTATTTTGTTCAAAGTAAGATCAGAATGGAGTGCCACCATTCATCATTTCCTGCCTCAGGAAACATTTCTGCCAAGTTTTCATTTTAAAATTAAGCAAATTAATGAGTTTAAGACTGATGACTCTCGAGACTTTGATGGTAATTGGTTCGGGAATTTGATCGTCTATCGAGACCTTTAGTTTCGGCTGTTGACTTACCTACATGGTCGATGATGAGCTTCGGATGACGTCATGAGCCAAACAAGTTTCCCAAACGTCGGACATTTTCGGCCTGTTTGCAAAACGAAACTGCCAACACGTTGTTGAACATCAACCATGTAGGTAAGTCAACAGTAGAATTCTGAAGTATCGAAAGTAAAAGCTTCCACAATGGCCAAGATACTGGTGGAGGGTCTCTTGTCTCTGGGATCGAGTTCCATTTGGACTGAAAATAGCAGAAAGGAGCCAACCCACATTTTGGAAAAAATTGAGTTATGCGTGGTTTTGAACTCAAGCACTGCTCTACAATCTATCGCCAAAAATTCAAAGTTTCTGTTGGAGCAAATTTTGCAGAAATTGAACTTGAAGTTTATCTTTTACATTGAGTCTTATGCAACAGCCAAACTTTAAACCTTTTTTTCTCGGTTCGATCCTAATGTGGCTTGGTTCCTTTCTGTTTAACTCCGTCCATTTAAACCGCGAGTTTTCTTCACTTTTTTTGCTAATTGTAGCGGTAGTAAGGTCTCATACTTTCCAGGAGAGTCTTTCGGTAAGTTCGTTGGGGGATTTCACGGATAAACCGACCGAGTAATAGACCGCTAGCTCCGAGTGGAAGCGGAAGTCGACTCCGTCTCGCGGTGTGGACGCGGCGGAGGAGGGCAGGGGCAAGGTCGCGACGCGGCGCGGGTATTGACCCACTGCGAACTTGGCTTGGTCAGAATGTGTTTCAAGGTCAGCTTCAGCAGCCTGGAAAGTGAGAGCTTTTACATAAACGCGGAATGTCAGGTGCTTGAATCTCCCGGTGTATGAAACGGAATTGCGGAAGCAACGAAAGTGGTTTTGGAGCCCCGGGGAAAAAAGCCGCGTTGCATTTGAAGGCATGTTCACGTGATTTCAAATCGTCGTCGTTTCCTACGCAAAGGAACGTAACTCCATTTCAAGGTTGCAAAATTGCCTAAACAATTCAATTTTTTACGAGAGTAAACTTTCATAGAATGTGTCAAAAATTTATCTGATTTTTGTATGAAATCCGAAGAAAAGTTCGTGAAATTTTCAGTAAGAAATTCGAGAAATTCCCCTGGTAAAAATGCAATTTGCGCGAAAAAATCTGGCAACACTGGAATGTGGTTACGTTCTTTTGTGAGAGAAACGATGAAATGTTGCGCGATTAAATCTCTTCAACGCTCTACCAAATCACCTATGGCTCCCGTTTGAACCACATATCGACGGTGAAACTACCAAACCACGTATCTCGGTTTGCGACGTCGCAGACTTCCTGTCATACTTTATTTTTTAAATGAAAAACTACTTAACATCCAGTCTTGAAAATTTCTGTGATTTTTCCTCTTTGTGCGGAGAAAATTCCGTGAAAATTTCAAGGAATGATATTGATTTGTTCTACTTCAAAAAAGTAAAATGTGAGCGTAGATTTTTAAACACCGCAAACGAGATACGTGGTTTGGTAGTTTCACCGTCGATATCTAACTTTTTAATGTTAAATCATAAGAGTAATGAGTACTCCGAGGGGCTGGACCGCGAAGTGGTCAGATGGCGCACCCACTGGTATTTTTAAAAAACTATACTCGGATATTTTCAACATGAAATCTTTTAAACGATAATAATTCGGATCTCATCAATTAGCCACAATGCACACTTGAAAATTCACACAATTAATCGCGGATATAACATTTTTAAAAGTTAACGATGTCAATATCTCATCATACAACAATAATGAAATTTGTTTGCACAAAACTTAAGTCAGTGATATTGATATTTTCACTTTCAAAATGAAACTCAAACTGGAGCAATTCATCACTTCGGAATCACCGCTTTATTCGTTTCAAAAATAAGTTAACACGCAAGATGATCAGTTTTGATAATGGAAGATAATGTTGGCATCTTCATTAAAATGTATTTATAAATACTAAAATAATTATGAAACAGAATAACACCGAATATGTACCGCAACTCATTGACGAGCAATGCATTTGAAAGGTTTCTTTTCTACATGTATATTTCCTATTTTTGTAAAATTATTTGATACTTTTTTTCATAGGCTTAAGGCAAAGTCAGTATTTGATGAAAATCCAATCCAATTATCCAACGACAAGGTGAATTGGATACATTGTGAAATAAACAAATATTTTGGCAGTAAATAATCTTCATTCTAGAAATCACACGAATTCGCCTTCTATTGGACTGCTAGGCAATAAGCCACGCATGCCACTCATATACAGGGTCTGTGATGTGCAGAGGCTCTTTAAAAGCTCTGTTTAGAACATTGGGTTGTACAAAAATGTAAATGCTCCATTCACTATTTTTTTAATTAACTCATCAATTAATCATGATCAGACGTTTGAAAATGTAAGAAAATGTGAGCCGCAGCGTTTATAATTGCTTAAGCAATGGCAGTCAATATTTTTTTCCTCTTCCCAATTTCTCTCTCTTTTATTTATCTTGATTGTAAAAATGATTGCATTAAGAAACTCGTTGCCCACCTTTATTATGCTTGAAAACTGTAAAATCAAAGGGGTTTTCATGAAATATTGTAATTCATTGAAACCATCACGCATATATCCGATTAAGATTGGTTTAATAAACAACTACGCGTGGATGGAGTTTATATTTCATTAAATTATAAGAGCCAGACATTATTGCTTTTAATACCGATGACAGTTGTATTTTTTCTACACTTCTTGATATATTTTTGCGGTTGTATAAATTGCGACTCATCTAGATCTTCGCTAAAAAAAACGAGACTTACGAACTAGTTCTTGTTTGAATCTATACTGTCATCTGAGGTAACATAATCTGATAGAGCATGTTTGATTATGTTTCAGATTTGGATAAGCACAGTCTGGTGTGGTATCTCAGGTGGAACCGAAACAGATGACTCTTCCCGGTCGTCAAGACAGTCACCATCGGATAAAGAAGTGGTTCTACACATCAATGACCCGGAGAAGCTACAATATCATGAGCAGAACTTTGAATCTAGTAAGTTCATGTTTTGAATCCTCCAAAGATCAGGGTCATAATAATTAATGGAAATGACTTACTCATAGTATGGAAAGAATTATATATACCAGTGCTATTTCTCAGGTACAAGCGTTCGTCATAAGATTATATGAAAAGTAGCGCCATTGCATGCGAACTTTCAGCGTACCCCCTAAACTTGATCAAATCGTGATTAATTATAAGACTTTTTCAACTCTATATCTCAATACCTTTTCGGGGAATATATTGAATCCAGAATAACTCTCAGTTTATGATATTACGGAGTAATATTCATAAATATTGAACTTTAAGTTGATAATAAATATATAATCAACAGTAAATCATAGCTTCGAAAAAAATTTAACGCAGGACAGGTCAGCAAGGCTAATTACAGAATAGTGATTTGATGGTTTAATCATACAGACAAAGTACAAACGCTAGAAACAAACGTGTCGCTATAGTTCAAGACTATAATTCCTTGGTAAATGCATGGTAAAAACAATGGTCAGAAAAACTTGGTATGCACCGCACGGTAGATGATGTCAGGTACAAAGTGTACGTTAAATTTCGGAACTTGATTAGTACGTTACTATCGGCCGCCAAGACTTAATGTCTGGACTGATTTTTTTCCTTCACATTAATATGTGCGCTGCAATCATCAAAGCATACCCCTATGAATGCTGAATCCAAAAGCCTGACCTACTGCGATTTGGAGCATGTGCAAAATCATCCTGTATTTTTTTCTGATGAAAGTTTGAGTCTTTTTGAACTTAGAGGATTTTCATTTTTCACTCTTTAGAAAATACTACTTAACACTCCTCCTTGCACAAAAAGCATCAATTTAAAGCCATTTATATGTGGAAATGTTGAACAATTACATAAAATTTACGGATTCGAGAAGAGACGAGATGCTTAAATGTCTCTATCAGCTGATTATCTCCTATTTCACAAACAATTTACATTCACGAATTTTGTTTTGAGGCTACCTGTAGAAGCAGTGCATATTGAGAGTATTTTAGTCTATTTTGAGCTGTAGGAAACCAAAATTTATCAAAAAAGTCTTGTTTGTATTAAGAGTAAGTATTATGGTTTGAAAATGTTACAAAAATAAATCTTAAAAATAAATTTGCAAAGAAGACTGACAATCTAAGAAACAAAATCACGAAACACGCGTCTCGAACTTTATGCAACAAGGTGACAAGATAGTGCTGGATCTCCACTATACTGCTGGGAGACCAAGGCCAAAAATTCTAAAAATGCACAATTTGAGAAAATATTTGAGCTCGAATGAGTATAAGTACGAGACCGAGAGGAAAACGTTATCAGCTCAGGCAATTGCATTGTATAATACTAAGCTGGGGTCATGTCGAGATATCTCGTTTTGGGTTTCTTCAGACATCATCATTTTGCCTTGCTCTTCTCGCAAAATAGTAGGGATCTACTACTTTTTTACCACCTTGTTACAAAATATGTAAGTTTGTACCTTCATTTAGAGGACATTCCAGTGAGTTGATTTGGAGGACGTAGAACCCCTATCAGAAAGAAGATGAAATATAACATAAATTAGATTCTCAATTATATTTGATTGTACACATAGCCAAAAGGCCAACATGCCTGTAGTTTTCTTAATTCTAATTTCAATTTCATTAATTGTTTCAGTGGCCTACGTATTTGGCTACGAGGTCGGGCCAAATGGACAGTTCCATCACGAAAACAAAGGACCAGATGGCATCACATATGGATGTTATGGCTTCATTGATGCCGAAGGAAAACCTCAAGCCACTCACTACCTCTCTGATGGTTGGGGATTCAGGATTGTCAAACCTGGCGAGCCAGTTGAAATATTTGACCACCCCCACGATCCAAGTCATGTAGACATTGGTCCAAACGGCGAGAAAATTGAGCATCACGGAATCCTCACATCTTGGGATAAACTTTACTTCCCAAAAGGATGCGGCCAAGGAAATTATGGCAACTTCTCAGGATCTGGAGTTTCCCAATACCCAAGTCAGTATCCTGCACAACCAGGATTTCCAGGACAACCAGGTATTCCAGGCAAACCTGGGAAACCTGGAACTCCAGGCCAACCTGGATACCCAGGACAACCAGGATTTGGTCAACCGGGAACTTTTGGACAGCCCGGATATCCAGGACAGCCTGGATCACCAGGAAGCCCCGGAATTCCAGGTCAACTAGGATTTGGACAGCCCGGATTCGGTCAACCTGGATACCCAGGGCAACCAGGCACGCCCGGTAAACCTGGAAAACCTGGATACCCAGGAACACCAGGGCAGCCAGGAACTCCAGGTCAACCCGGATTCGGACAAGGCATCGGCCAGCCAGGATATCCAGGACAACCTGGCCGTCCCGGAAGGCCAGGACAGCCCGGCTATCCAGGTCAACCAGGTTTCGGGCAACCAGCCTATCCAGGACAACCCGGAACACCAGGAAAACCTGGTCAACCCGGATACCCAGGACAACCAGGATTTGGTCAACCAGGATACCCAGGACAAACAGGCTTTGGTCAACCAGGATACCCAGGACAACCCGGAGCACCAGGGAAACCTGGTCAACCCGGATACCCAGGACAACCAGGATTTGGTCAACCAGGATACCCAGGACAAACAGGCTTTGGTCAACCAGGATACCCAGGACAACCCGGAACACCAGGAAAGCCTGGAATCCCTGGCCAACCAGGATTTGGACAACCAGGGTTTGGCCAACCAGGAACTTCAGGTCAACCCGGATATCCAGGACTACCTGGTACACCCGGCACACCTGGAATTTCAGGTCAACCAGGTTTTGGACCATCAGGATATCCAGGACAACCCGGTATTCCTGGACGACCTGGAAAACCAGGCCAGCCAGGATACCCAGGTACAGGAGGATATCCTACATATCCTCAAGGCCCTGACTTTGGCTCAACAGTTACACCAGGCGGAGTTGGATATCCAGGAGCACCAGGCCAGCCGGGTGCTCCAGGAAGTCCCGGTCAGCCAGGATCACCAGGTGTCCCCGGATCTCAATACCCAGGTGCAGTGATCTACCCGATTCAAGAATTGCCCGGTTATCCAGCTGAAGGAGAGGAAGGACAATACCCCAGTCAAAGCTATCCAGGCTCACCAGGAATACCCGGACAACCGGGGACACCGGGATCTCCTGGGTCACCCGGCTCTCCTGGGACAGTCATCACAACTTATCCCGAATACCCTGGAACTGAGGGCTCACCAGGCACTCCAGGCACACCAGGATCTCCCGGATACCCAGGAACTCCAGGCAGTTTTGTCATAATCACTCACCCCGCTCATCCCGGATTTGAAGGACAACCTGGTTATCCTGGTACCCCAGGCTCACCTGGCAAACCTGGTGCTCCAGGCTCACCAGGAACTCCTGGAACGCCGGGCACCCCTGGCTTCCCTGGCACTGCGGGATACCCGGGATCTTTCGGTCAGCCAAGTTATCCAACAACACCAAGCTACCCAGGTAAACCAGGAGCTCCCGGCACACCAGGTATTCCTGGACGTCCCGGAAGTCCAGGGTCTCCTGGATATCCTGGATCATTCGGTCAACCATCATATCCCTCTTACCCAGCTTATCCTGGTCAACCAGGTTCTCCAGGGACCCCTGGAAGACCGGGAACGCCAGGCTCACCAGGCTATCCCGGTTCCTTTAATCAGCCCAGTTATCCATCTGCACCAGGATATCCAGGCAAACCTGGAACACCAGGTTCCCCTGGACTCCCTGGAAGACCAGGGACCCCAGGCACTCCCGGCTCGACAGGTTATCCTGGATCGATAAATCTACCTAGTTACCCATCATATCCCTTGTCACCAGGCTCACCTGGAGCCCCGGGTCGACCCGGATCTCCAGGGGTACCAGGTACTCCTGGATATCCAGGATCGTTTAGTCCATCAGGTTACCCGGGTTCTCCAGGGGCACCAGGAGCACCAGGAACACCAGGACTCCCAGGCAAACCAGGGACTCCCGGATACCCTGGCTACCCAGGTGAAATTGAGTCTCAATACCCGATTTCAGTGCCGACGACGAGTAAACCATCATACCCAGGTACCCAAGGATACCCTGGAAGCTTCACAACATTACAACCCGCATACCCTGGTTCTCCAGGATCACCTGGAGCTCCTGGTAGTCCCGGGCTACCTGGCTCACCCGGAATCCCAGGATCCACCATTTTAGTTGGCCCAGAATATCCAAGCACCACTGTTACACCATTGAAACCAATCGTGGTTGAATACCCAGGGTATCCTGGTACCCCAGGGACACCTGGATCCCCAGGAGCACCCGGCCTTCCCGGGCAATCTGGATCAATTTACGAAGTAGAGCAGCCAGCTTACCCTGGCTCCCCAGGATCTCCAGGAACCCCTGGAGCTCCTGGCCTACCAGGTACTCCCGGACGTCCCGGATATCCAGGAACAACTGGATCACAGTATCCATCTTCTCCAGGAGTTGTAAATAAGCCTAGTTATCCAAGTTCTCAGGGCTATCCTGGCACACCTGGCCGCCCCGGAACTCCGGGATCTCCAGGGTTGCCGGGGACACCCGGTTACCCCGGATCCATCTCATCATATCCTCAGTCAGGATATCCTGGAGCACCAGGTTCCCCGGGAATTCCAGGATTGCCAGGCCAGCCAGGCATCTCAGAATATCCTGGATCCATTGAAATATTGCAACCTCAATACCCCACTTCTACAGAATTTCCGAGTGGGCCGACAGGCCCTGGATATCCTTTCCCCTCGGGACCAAGTCAATCGGCTTACCCGGGAAGCCCGGGACAGCCAGGCAGACCGGGAGCTCCGGGAGCTCCAGGTGCGCCAGGAGTTCCTGGTTATCCGAGCGGCATAATAACTCAATATCCAGGCTCATCCTATCCCACCTCAGGATACCCTAGCTCAATTGGTCAACAAGGATATCCTGGTTCACCTGGTGCACCGGGAAAGCCAGGCATTCCAGGAAAGCCTGGTTATCCCGGATCTAGTTTCCTCTATCCGAATTCTTCTTACGCCCCAAGCAAGCCAGGAGTAATTGGCTCCGGGCAACCAGGGTCCTATCCAAGCTATCCAAGCTATCCAAGCTACCCAATTTCTTCAGGATATCCTGGTACACCAGGGACTGCAGGAACACCTGGACTGCCTGGCACTCCTGGATCTCCAGGACTCCCTGGATATCCAAGTTCATTTGGCACTCCAAATAAACCACTTTATCCTGGCTCTCAAGTGTCTCCAGGTATCTACGGACCTGCATACCCCAGCTATCCCGAGGATCAAGAGCTTGTAGGTTACCCAGGATCAGGTGGGTACATCCCTGCCAGTCAGGTTGGCTATCCTGGTTCACCCGGAACTCCTGGCACACCTGGAACTCCTGGCTCACCCGGAACTCCCGGTAAACCCGGAGTCCCCGGAGTGTTTGGTTATCCTGGATCTCAATACCCAAGTTCGACTAGTAAACCAGTATATCCTGGCTCTCAAACTTATCCAGGATCCTCAGTTCTAACCACCTATCCTGGACAGTCCGGAACCGTAATAAGTTACCCAACTTCATCAGGAACATTCGGCAAACCTGGCTATCCCGGCACTCCAGGAACTCCAGGAAGACCTGGGACACCTGGATCGCCAGGTACTCCGGGGCAATCCGGATTCGGATACCAAGAAATTTACTACCCAGGGTCTGTGTATGCACCTGGTTACCCTAGCTCAAAGCCTAGTGTATCCTATCCCTCTCAGGGATCTTATCCTGGAAGCCAACCAGGTGTAATTTATCAAGTTAGTCAGCCAGGGCAAATTGGATATCCGGGCGCTTCTGGAATACCTGGAGCACCTGGAATACCTGGAGCACCTGGAGCCACAGGATTACCTGGTCAACCTGGAATTACTTATCCTGTCCAAGTGTTCGAAACATCATATCCGAGTTATCCGGTGTATCCGACACAATGCTCATCCCAGCAATCGAGCTCTTATCCAAATGGAATTGTGTCGTCTCAATGCTCGCAGTATCCAATTCAAACCTTGTCAAGCTATCCAACAGGACCATCTGGAACATATTATCAGCCTGGAATTTCTAGTCAATCGGGACTTTCTGGAGTCCCGGCAAGACCTGTTACAGAAACCCCTGAAGAATCAGAGGTCTTCAGTCAAAAGCCTTTAAAGCCTGGTAATCAGTATCTACCTAGTCAGCCGGTTTCAATCAAACCAAGCTACCCATCGTCGTTCATTCAAACGACTACATCTGGGCCGAGTATAAGCACATTCAGTCCAGAGGATAGTTCTTCTTCTTACAAACCAGGACCTGAAGAATCAGTGCAGGTGACAGAGATTTACTCAACAACTTACGACTCCGAGACTGGAAAACCTTTAACTACAGTTTCATCGATTCCCACTTTCGATGAATCTACAGAACTTCCACAAGAGATATCCTCCCTCTATCCGGGGGTGACTGTGAGACCCGACTCTTCCTCCACTCCAGCCCCAGTGGACGTCATAGCTTACCCGACTCCAGCCAATAGTGGATCTTGCCCTTGTTACTTGGTTAAACCTTTGAATGGAACGAAGCCAGGTTCTAACGACATCTCACCGGAGTTCATCCAATCACTGCCACCCGGCGCTTCCATTGGTTATATTCCAGTCGTATTTTATCCAAATTGCGGAAACACGACTGGTAATGCTGAATACGCACAACATGTGTATCCATCAGCGATCGTAATGCCATACTCATGTGGATCTTGCCAACAAAAAGAACCAGAAACGGAAGTTGGCGAAAGTAGTACTTCTAATCCGTATATTTATCGGAGGAACGGAGCCAAGCCAGGAAATGCTGGCGTTGTTCTCGACCATACTTACTCTAAGGGTCAGATAAGTCAATTTGGTGTTAGGACGAGGCCTAGGACTATTGTAGTTAAAAGAAGAATTTCAGAAAAACAAAATGAGAATCAACAAACTCAGGCACAAAGTAGCTGAAAAAGAGGTAAATTAATAAATGTAATGTATCTTATGGCCCGTCCTTGAATTACACTTAAAATACGTAAATTAAAGGGGAAGTGCATTAATTGGACTGCATTTTGCAATTTGGACCTATAAATTCCGGCCCGGTTTAAAAACAACGTATGTGCTATTAGTCTCCCTATGCACATAAGTGTTTTTTCAGATAAGCCAGAATTTATACGTCCAAATTGCAAAATGCAGTCCAATTTGTCCTAAGTACGTTGTTCATACGAATGATAAAATACTCATGAAAACTATATAAAAATAGTCAAAATGTCTTTATGAGTTTAGGATATTTCAGAATTATTTATTTCTTCTCTTTGAAACGTTGTGATGATATTCTTATTTCATTTTTTTAAATATCAGTATCAGTTCTGATAATGAATAAAAACAATTGTATCGTGAAAATCGAGGATTCTAAAATCGATTCATCTATTTTTTTTTATTTAATTCGGTATTTATTTTTTGTATTTTTGTATTATATGGGCAAGCCATTAGCATTGCAATAATTTGTTTCTTAAAAGAAATGTCTCATGAGGTGAACCTAATAATTTTTACAGAAATCAAAAGAAAGTTGGTTTCTTACTTTTATATTTTACTGCCTAATTTTTTTATTTTTCCCAGTACAAAATATCAAATGTACAATTTGTAGTACAAAGATCCAATTTTCTTCATGCTTGATATTTCTAAGATATTTTTCTCTTTTTCCTTTTCTCTACTTTTTCTGATTATTGTTCAAAATATCACTGAAAAACTTAAAATAGCTTAAAATAGCTGACTAAACTTCTTTGATCCGGTTTTCTCAGTCAAACTTATCAATTTCACGACGCGATCAAGTATAAGCCGAAAACCTTACTTCTCAACATGTGATACAAAATTCAACTGCATGAACTTGAAACCGGATATAATGATAAAATTTATTCGTGCCAGTTCTTCACCCTGACTGCCATATGCGTATTGTGTAATTTAAGGATAGTCTGTAAGTATAAAACTCTGTGCTCAAATATTTTATGTATTTTTAATAAACGTGATAGTTTTGTACAAATATTTATCCTGTTTTTGCTGATGTGTGTCATGCACGATGGTCTGTTTGGTATCCATGATCTCCCGTGCCGTCTCATTCCTGACGCCATCTTTTCTAAAAATACCAGAAGTCCATCTTTGCATGCAAGATTCTATGTAAATTCAAATAAGCACGTGAAAAAACGTGTCGAGAAATTTTGAAAAATCGTTATTGCACCCATTAGAAAAGATACCATTAGAAATTTTGATATCTATTCTCATATATCATCCATATTTAAGGGTTGTTTCCAGTTTAAAGCTCAAAGTCGTGTCGCCACTTTTTTATGTTTATCATATTCATGTATTTTTTCCCTCAATGGGTCTACTAGCAAGATTAGCCCAGCAATTTTCTGAATTAAAAACCTCGTAGAGTTCAATACGTATATGTGCAGCGAGCCATTTTCAAAATTTACTTTGGTTTTAGAGGGGTTTTGGTGCGAAAATGTGGGCTTTTTGTCATTTCGATGACAACCTTCACATTTTACACCACCACTTTTCACTTGATTTCATGCACTGAAACTATTTTTTCTCCAAGGTACTGCCCTGCAGTCACCAAATATATGATCATTTTAGATGCAACAGATCTTATATATGGGATCGCGAGTAAGACATAGGAAAGCGTCATTGAAGCGATGGACACATTTCTGGCCGTCATTTCGGTGACGCACCCCTCTGTCTACCCTCTGATTCCAAATGTCTGATAGTTTTGAAATTTGTCATAAGTCATGACTGAGCCTTGGGAGGAAACACCAATATATTACATACATACATTCGAGTCGCTTTACAGCGCGCCAGGGCGCTCTGCGACACCTAATCGCCATCCTTGCGTATCGATCCAGAAGTCATCTAGATAATCAACGAATTAATAAATTTCTGGTCTGTTCATTAATGAATAAAATCAAATAGAAAGTGAAGTTTGTCACCGAAATGGCGAAAACCCCACATTATCGCACCATGAACAGTCTAAAATAAATGCAAATTTTGAAAAATTTTCGCTGCATGTATCAGCATTAAATTTTACGAGGTTTTCCCCTTTAGAAAATGTTCGGATCAATCTTGTTAGTAGGCCCTCAAAAAATCTACAAATAAATAAGATAAAAAATAGAAAAGTGGCGACAAAACTTTTGGCTTTTAAGCTGAAAACGACTCTTAAAACCATTGTTAGTCGTACAAGCTGAAGCTCTTTTTGTATATTGACGGTGCAAGTCGGCAATCACATAACTCGTTTGCGGTGTCTGAAAATCTCCGCAACTATGTTATTTTTTTAAAGGAGAACAAATGGACATGATTCCTTGAAGTTTTTGCAGAATTTTCCTTGAACATAGAAGAAAAATCACGGCAGTTTTAAAGAATTACCGTTGAGTAGTTTTCCGTTTAAAAAATAAAGTATGACAGGAAGTCTGCGACGTCGCAAATCGAGTTACGTGATTGCCGACTTTCACCGTCGATATGTAACTCTTCTCCTCCAAATCATCGCTGGTCACGAACTTGTATTTGGAGAAATGCAGGTAATAAAAGTTTACAGTGCGTCATTGACTTGCCCTACACTGCAGAAAACTACGGGCAAATGAACCAAATTGCTACAGTTTTTGTTAAAGGCTGTAAAAGGTCCAAAAAAAGCAATACATCCTTAGATTACAATACACTTGGATACGATATAAATCAAGCGTGTTTTGTAAAGAGTAGAAAAAAAGGCAGTAATTTTATTTTGGATTAGAATTCTTTAATTTTTCCCACTTTTATTGTGGACGAGAAAATGTCCCAAATAAATAAACACGAGCTCTTAGTGAAATGTTCCACCGATTATTGCCTTTCAAGTTTTTTAGCACTGATTCAAAAATCTTCTAAAAGTTTGACAATAAAAAAGATATGAAAAGTTTCGCATTGCCAAATTAAAGTAAAATTTGTCATCGAATCAATGTTCCCTTCCCAAATATTATGACACTCAAAAATGTCTATCGAGAAAATACGGAATTCGTTAAGTATTCAATGGTTGAATTTTTACTTTCGTATGGTCGTCAAAATGCCTGCAAGGTTTGGCCGTTAGCTTCACGGAAAAATTACATTGCTGATTTAACCATTAAATTGCTAAAAAAAAAAGTGGCTGCAATATTTCAACGTATATTTCACAATACAAACAAGCAGTTCCAACGCCCAAGCGTTGAAGGGCGCTTCTTTGGCAAAGCATATTACTACCAACTTTTGTACTCGAAGGCTGACGAAGATGGAATTTGAAGAGGGATTCCTTAACCGCAAACCCTTCAAAGCTACAGATCGACCGCGAAGATCTGATACTTTCCTCAAGCACTTTGTGACGAATGTAAGTTGGTGGAGAATGGAAACATAAAGGATCCACTGTAAATCAGACGACGGGAAAGAGCGGCGGAACCTCTAAAGCTGGTGCGTCAACGCGATCTAGCGGACAGCGGCGTCGCGACGCCGCGAGGTATGGCGCGCAGGTCGCGGGGGAGCGGGGCCGCGTGAAGAGGAGTTCAGCCAGGGGGTGGGGAAGCGCGGGTCGCGGGGAAGAGAGGGACCGGCCGGCCGGCGGTCATGGACCAAGAGAATAAATGAGGACCCCCAACTCCGGTTAGCGCTGACATCAGCGCTGCCTGGCAGAGGGTGTAGTGAACTAAACGGACGATTGGGTCTTCCTGTTTATATTTCCATGCACCACCTATTTAGGCTTATCACTCAGTTCAGTAGTTCTCATAGAAGTTTCTAGATCCTCGTATCCTCGTGGTCGCCCTGCAGTTTTGAAGAGTTTAGTGTGAAAAGTTTCCCATTTTCATTTCAATCTTCGTCAGTTTTCGGGTACATGAACTGGTAATAATGTGAAGTGTTTTTTCTAACCGTTTTACTCAGCAGCAACTGCTGTTGAGAAAGCCAAAGGAAGTGTGTGTGAGGGTGTGTGTGTGTGTGTGTGCAGTGTGCAGCAGGAATCAGGATTGTACTTTTAGCCGAAGGCGCAAGTGAAATCTTTTGATTGAGAAATAGTGTTGTACTGATAAAAATCAACTGAGTGTCACAAAATCAAAGATACTTGACTTCAAGCATTACCTTTAATTTGATTATTAGCAAGTCTCTTTGATTCTGCGTCAGAAGTTGACTGAATCATCTTTGCTCGTGTTTTGATAAGATACTTCAAATCAAAGTCTTTCGCATTGACCTCTGCCGAAGGTATGTATCTATACAATTTCATTAGTTTGCGAAAGTAAAATGTATTAAAGTATCTACACAAATAAATAAATCATAGATAAACAAAGAACATTGCATGGAATAACATACTATAGAGGTACGATCGTGGACCGCTGCGGCGTTAGTTCACCGCACCCTCTGCCAGGTTCGCTGCGAGCGCGCGTTAACGGTTTTTAACACAGGTTAGCATAGGGAGTTGGGAGTCCTTATTTATTCTCTTGGTCCATGCGGCGGTGACATCGGCCATGGATGAAAATATAGGCAGCGCTAATATCTCCGCTAACTGGAGTTGGGGGTCCTTATTCATTCTCATGGTCCATGACATAACCTTAAACCTTCCGCTCCATGCCGCAAACAGCTGACGTGTCGATGCTGCGCCAATAAAATTAACCAATCACAAAGTGGCACAGTAATACGTCACTAAAATGAAGAGATCACGTGACTGTTAGTAATATTTTCAAATCGATCTGAAAGTACTGCCTCGGATATAAGTATTTAAAGCATAAGGAGGCCCTAAAATACTTTAACCAGGTAATACGTTCGTGCGAGATTGTTATGCTTAAAAGCAAAACATTTCACGAAAACTTTTACGAATACCAGATGCAGAAAAAAATCAAATTTTCCCGGGTGTACCAGAATGGCGTCATTACCCATAAGGCAAAAGGGCATGTAGTATAGTACATGTTACATCGGGGGAGTCGAACGGTTGGAAAGGGCGCATCTGGTACCCAGAAGCGCCCAAAATGCTACTTTAACCACCCCTGTGGTTATATTAGCTTGCATACCAGTGGTTAAAGTAGCATTTTTGTGTTGTCAAATCTACGTTGAGATATTGCAGTTACTTTCTTTTAGCAATTGAATTGTTAAAGCAGCAATTTAATTTTTTCCATGTTGCTATATAAATACTCGTGCACTCTGACTGGCATGTTTTAGAAAAACGTCCTTCTTTCCACTAAACATTTGCCCGGTCCATCCGGTTAAAAATAGGGGACAAAATCTGGATTAACACGGTAAGTATGACCCGTCTTTCAACAAAATATTACAGAGCATGGATGTCCATTCAAGTGGTTTGAAGATTGACTTCTGTAGCTAATACAAAAAATGTACCTACTTAAGTTTGAAATTTAAGAGACGGCATCCAAAAGCATTCCTCTTTAGGACGAATGTATTGATTACATCGCTGTTATTTCGTTTATTTCTGAACTATTCCCTCTGAGGGTGAAACATGATGGAAAATGGACTGCATGCATGACAAGGAGAAACAGCATGTGTACCATTAGGTCCTTCATGCAGAAAGGTGATTTTATGAATGAATCACAAAAATAGGAGGCCTAGAGGAAAATGTAGATAGTCTCAATGATACAATGCTTGGCGATGAACTTTTTCGCCCATATAACTCAATGCTTTTTCGGGCTGATCCCAAATCGGACGTATTTCTGTCAAACGGAACTATGTGTATTATTGAGACGTGAGCCCTGAGACCCTTAAGAATATACGCATAAAAGGGCTCACGTCATGATGCACATAGTTCCGTTTGACAGAAATACGTCCAGTTGTAGTTACGCCCTTTTGTCAGCCAGGTGATGACTTGGTCCTTGATTACATATGCAACTATGCTCACTATTGACCATGACCATGTCCACAGTTTCGTAGAAGAACAAACACCACGACCCGTGCTAATTCATCGCCCTCTGTTAGACGGACGTCACACTGGTGTTTCCAATTGAGTGACGACCTAGCACAACCATCAACGACGTCATTTCTTCCGTCAACTCTGGATGAGTGAGGAAAAAAGTTGTATCGAGAATGCCGTGAATTCTAGCACATTGCGGCAGTTTTGTGACTTATGAGTCAGTTACGTTCTACACTGGAAAAAAAAACACATTGGATCTAGAGTCCAAACTCTTAAAAAAAATTGACAAGAAAAAATACTCTTGATTCAATCGGATTTTTGCTTGAATCAAAACGAAATCCGCTTAAAGTAAGAGGCTTGGTTCTTGATTTAAGCTAGATTCTGATTGAATCAAGAGTACTTTTTCTTGTCGATGTTTTTAAGAGTCTGGACTCTAGATATATATATACATATGAGCCGCTTTTATAGCGCTCTTTGGCGCTGTGCGACGCCTAATCGCCACAAAGCTCGGTCTTCCCACAGGTCATCAGGGAGTTGACAATCTCTTATCTCATTTAACACCCCCTGTCGCCAACCTCTCACTGGGCGTCCCCTACGTCTCCTCCCAGGAGGAACCCAATCAAGCATCTTTTTTGGCAGCCTCTCTTCCGTCATCCTATTGACATGACCATACCAAACAAGTTGTTTAGTCATGACGTCGAACACGACTCTAGATCCAATGTGTTTTTGTTTTTCTAGTGTATGTACGCACGTTAATGGGGAGAAGAGGTTAAGGTTCAACCCTCCTCTTTCAGCAAAAAGAAAAGCCTGCGTAATACGTAGCTTTTTGGCTCCTAGAAAATCTCATGAGTTAAAGAATAATAATAAGAATCAGCGTAAGACGTTGCCAATTTCCTTTCATGTAGATTTTTATCGCAAGAGATCTGTGCTCAGTAAATTTGAAAATACAAATAGGTTATACTCATAAACATCTTCTCGGTATCATATTACTTATTGTTATTTTTTTTTTTGTTTTTTTGTACGAAAACACAATTTGAAAGAGAAGCTAGGCAACGTGTGTTGCAGTTATGGGCAGATTTCGTGCATATCCGTCCAAATATTATTATAGTTTTCTTCATCTATAATCTCACAAGGCTGTTTTTACAAAATTCAGTCATACCAGTGATAGCTTCATAGAGATAACTTATTTTTAATACAGTCGCTCCGTTAAAGGCCACACTTGACTACCATAGAGCCCGATACCTACTTTTCATAGTGACGTCATGTTCACGTTGCTTGTTTGCCTTTCAAATGCTCACTCTGATCCTAGAGCACCCCGCTCAGCATCGCGATGGCTCTCCTCCCTCAGATAATCCTGTCCTAAATCGACCAATATACCCTTCCATCCTGCGGGCCGATTTTTGAAATTGATAGGCAAAGCTATAGATAAATAAGACAAAAGAGATATGGTGGGATCCCATTGGTGGAAGCGGGTGGTTGCAATAGACAAAGGAGGTAAGTAATAGACTAAGTAACGGCAACCCATGAGGAACCCGACAGTTAGTTCATCATGTTTTCTCCCTTAATTTTAAAAGTCGAAAATTAAAAAAAAAAAAATACACGGTATACGAGTTTCTCCGCCAGGGAGCTCTCACCACAAGAAATCATTCACCACCCGGAGGCGCCGCGGTGGGCTGCCAGCTTAAAACGCGCATTGACGCCTACAAACCTACAGGGCTACTTCACGCATTGCGCAATGCTTGAAGTATCCCTTTAGGTTTGTAGGCGTCAATGCGCGTTTCGAGCTGGCAGCGGCAGCACGCCGCGCCGTGCCGCGCCGCAGCGTGCCATAAACTTGCCCACAAATAATAGGTCAGGATGTTAAAATGTAGGCAATTTGACATCGAATTCCAAATTAGCGACTCAAAAAAATATCGGTTTGGAAACTTTCTTGATCTTTCAGTCATTATCTGACTTATTTCTTCCTATTCATGAGTTTTGGACCATAGTCTATAGGAACCACCCAATTCAACCAATAAGATAGCTCCACACTCCCTACGTTTTCTTTGTCTATTGCCTTGTCTATCAATTTTAATAATCGGTCCGCTGATCTGAAGTACCTATATAAGGACAGTACGGACATGTTGAAATGTGGAGCTCTTAGGGCCTAAAGTCAACCTTTAACCTTTGAAAACAAAAAATGTCATTGCCAATCTTCAGATTTCAATGTCAAACCAAAATGGCCAAGAACGTCATAAATGAGCGTGCTTCCATAAAAATGAGTAAATTTTTGCAAAAACTAAAACAAATACGTACTTTACCCACGGCGGATCCTAACAATTGTATTAATGTACAACTGTCGATGATTTGAATCAATAGATTGGCTAACCTTATGGGGCCCTAAGATCTCCAACCTCTCCATTACCGACATGTCTATACTCTCCCTATAAAAGTAGTCTATCCTGATCCAGCCAAATACCAAGATACTTACGCTCGTTGTATTCTTTGATGCGCTTTGAAGAGCATAATCTAAAAGTTAAAAAAATAAAACCAGAAAATGGGCATGCAACTGATCGAAGTAGGAATCACTGTCAACTGAAAAATAGAGCAAAGATGGCTGGAAAGAAACAGGCATATTTAGTCTGATTTCTACCTTGGTCAGTTGCATTCCCATTTTCTTGTATTATTTTTTTAACTTTTAGCTCTTGCTCCAGCTAAAAACTGGCCCGAAACGTCCTGGTTTGTGTTTACTTTGCCATTGGCCTTGCATACCACGTATTAGGTTATTTTTCTTGCTCTTTGAAGATTAATGATGCACTGTGACTCAATTTTTTCAACCTTTTCTGTCCAGTTAGTAGGCGTAAAATTAACCTTCACCCTTTTTTTGAGTCACTCAATGCTGGCCTTCATTTTTTCCCGCCCACAAAATAATTCTGAGTCAGCGCAATTCCCTCAGCAAAGACGGAAAAAGAATCCCGGTGACAGAATTCTTTTGTGAATGAGCTATCTTTGTAATGGCGAACAAACAGAGCCGTATTTACCTCGTATATTAGCATGGTTCAACACCGTCATATCATGACGCTCGTATGCCAACTCAAAACTCTGCCAAGTTAAGCTGAAAAATCTAGAATACCAGTCAAATTATCAATGAGCCCTTCAAAGATTTTCGGCAACTTTGACAACACGTGAAAGATCTTGAGTGGTGTTTAAATACCTCTTAGCTAGAGTTTTGAGTCAGTACGGTTTGCAGTGATTTTTGCGGCTATCTCGGATATTTTGGTGCGCGAAATTCCGAAAGACTCACCTCAGTGTTCCTCTTGGATTACCACAATTGACATCGTAAGACAGTGCACCAAGATGAAATCTCAAGTTGTGGTATGTGATATTTTTTATAGTCTTTGCAAGGAGCTGATCGAAATTTTTATGAAAGTTAAAATTTCATAGTGATTCCCGTGAATGATTCTTTTCAATCATTATTAGAGTGAATATATATTATCAATATTAAGGGTTTGACTGGTATCCTCAGGGGGTACTTCTTTTTATTCCAATTAAGTGCTCTGCAAAGTGGGGATCACCTTTCAAAATGTCTTTTTAATACAGGTTCATCTGTAATATGATAGAATAAAAATTACTCTCAACTTATTTTTTTTAAAAAAAAACTGAAGGTCGTTAATTTGCGTCGGATATCTAATAATATTTTTTACCTTTTTCTTTTGATTATTTTTTGAAGGGATAGCAGTAATTTGAATTTATGAGAGTGTATTTTTCCTAGTAGGAGCAAATATTATAAAGGCATATTAAAAGAACACGAAAGAGGGATCGATAACTAAACGCATCTATCGAGTCTAATAACAATAATTATATACGCACTTCCTCTCGATAATTTTTTCTCCCGTTTTAAAATTCAATGAATATGACCGTTGGAGAGCAACAAACCTTCAATTTTGCTTATTTTTTTGTTCTTTTTTTTCCTTTGCGGGTAATATTTTCTCTTTTTTTCTTTTTTCTACCACCTTGAATCTAAACTTTTGTATGTTGTGAAAGATTTAGATGCACTTATTTCAAGCATATCATGATATTTTTCAATGGTTTTAAAATGGTTTTTTGTGTATTTTAAAATGACCGCAAAAAATAATTTAAGAGTTGTGAACCGGTGAAAAAAAGTCAAACAGTAAAAATTTACTTAAATTCTGGAAAAGTGTCGGTGTAAGCATTTTTCTCCCCTTTACTTATTTGCATTTGCTTTGCCGGTTGTAACAACATAAACATACTGTATAACCCTGCGTGTTTAGTAGCATATAAAAAATACGTTCAAAATTCTCACGAGGACAATACGAAAAATCGGGAGACCAGTTTAATTCCTAAATAATTATACGGTAATCTGCTGTGCATATTCAAGGCAGAAGAGCAACTACCTTTCCTTCCCAAAAAAATGATACAAAATATATTGCTTGTGTGCTATCATATTTTTCATAATGCTTGCAATCACTTTTTCGCTTACTAAAATTAAAAAGAACTCTAAAACCAACCAAAAATTCCTCTTATGGCTCCCCTTTCATTACAAAAATGAAGAGGGTTTTTTACTTCTTTTTTGTCATGAGAGGTAGGTATCTATATTTTCTTTGGCTAGAAAATAGTTTCTAAGGAAGATGGTATGAAATACGTCTCTTACAAAAGACTCACATCTGAAATAAGTCACTGAAATCGATGAGAGTGCAGGAAGAATTTGCCATTAGCCCACTCAACTTGTACTTCTACTAAATCATGTACGGTAAATTTTATTAAAATTAAAGCCGAGCTCACTTTCTTCGTCTGCTCAAGATTGGAAATTATTTAGGATACGTGCAGTCAAATTTTCCAATTTTACTGCATATCGAAAGGTATACTACTATCATATTTTTAATTTGTTTGTGATAAATATAAACATCCTTAACATTTCTTACTACTTGCATTGCCAACCCCCTGAGGCACTTCGCGCCTCAGTCGTTATACATTATGCGTTATGCGTTACTCTTATAATTTTGGAGTATGATAATGATGATAATAACACTGCAATTTGAATTGCACAGATATTCGTTTGCTCCGTACTGATGGATCTCATGCTGATGTCTGAAACATCGAGGCTGCCCTTAGATCAGTCACCTGTACAACCTGCGCAACCTTTGCAACCTTTGCCTGCGCACCCAGGCCCGGACCCCATCTCCAGCAGAGCTGCCGATCTCAACACTGCTCCCACGACTAACAGTGAGTCCTTTTCTCTTTCGAAGGGTCTCGGGAACATAAGACGACACCGTAAGTCGAAATAATGAGTTCTTAACTATTTCGCATGAAATATACGGAGAAATCGAATGTCAGTGCTGCTAGATCCTGGACTTACACGTATACATGTACTGCTAAACAAATGACATATCGACGGTGTAAGTCGGCAATCACATAACTCGGTTTGCGACGTCGCAGACTTCCTGTCATACTTTATTTTTTAAACGGAAAACTACTCAACGGCAATTCTTTGAAACTGCCGTGATTTTTCTTCTCTGTACGAGGAAAATTCTGCATAAACTTCAAGGAACGATGTCAATTTGTTCTCCTTTAAAAAATTAACAGAGAGACGGAGATTTTCAGACACCGCAAACGAGTTATGTTATTGCCGACTTACACCGTCGATATATATTAGGTAGTGATATTACAAGGTTCCTATCAGTGCTTATTAAGCATTGGTCTACGTCAAAGAGGAACGCGATTAGCACTTAGCACTGACTAGTAGATTTTCTGGAGATCATATATAATCAGGAATTCAGTGACACTAATATTATTTCTTCCATGTCGAGGATCGTCGCTGTGTCGCGTGCAACTGACATGATTGATTGTACATGGTCTTGGACAGGCCAAGATGGTGAAATCGTAGAAATACCTAAATTAATTGAGGTATTTCAAAGCATTTTTTAAAGTGAGGAACGCAAAATTGTGCACACACAATTGCAAAATTTTAGACACAATTTTTGCTATATTCCATGAAAGGGAAAGAAAGTTCACTACAATTACATGAGTAACAAGATGAGGAATAAATAAAAAAATAAATTATACTGCTTCCAAATTATGTAGATTAGTCGAGCGAAAGTTACAATCAGCTTAAGTCGCCCTTAAGTCCAGCGTAACTTTCTGAAATTGGCTAATTTCGATGATTTTAGGTAATGTCCGAGTCTCCGTTTTTGGACGACTGCAAACCAACAAAACTTAGAGATATGCAACGTCACAAACTGAGATAAGAGTGCGATATTTCAGTTTTACCAACAGTAAGAACAATACTTATCACTCCTCGGTATGGAGGTGCAAACGCAGGTCCAGTCTATGTTAAAAGTTTCAAAATAAGTTGATCACTCTGGCTTATCAAATATACAATTTCAAAATTCAAAATCCGGCAATGTGCATTGGCGAATATATGTTTGTGAAAGCAAAAATAGAGTCAGTTATCACGAGTGGGATTTATTACATGAAAAGACATAGTTGGAAAAATTTTAAAAAAATATAATTTTAACAATACTTAAAGTTGAAGCCAATGACAAGGTCAGGTCCTTCTTCAAGGCTTAAATAAAACCTACAAAATTCAAATTAAATCCAAACAAAGTTTGGTAAAATTACTTCAATTACAAAAGCTAAAATCTTAATTTCTTTACTTTCTTTTGAGTCCTTTATAAGTGTAGCACTTTTTTACTCTGCACAGCTTTGCTTCAAATTACTTTTTTTTTTATCCGCTGAGAGTTTCTGCCAGGGCTAAAACGTTGTCAGCTTTAAAAGTCGAATTGCAAATAAGTTGATCAGGTCACCATCCGTAGTATAATGTGATCCAAAAGGAACTGTGAAACTAATTAATGTAGGAAAGCTGCGTCTATGAATATCATACACGGATGATACACATAGTGCGATGATGGACTCCAAACAAATAATTGGTTAAAATCATTTGCTCGTGCAAAAAATTCTCTCCTTAATATTGTGTTTTCGAATGGACCTTTCCCGCGGTAAACAGTTTACTGTATAATGGGGCAAAGAGCTTCATTCGTCTTACGTCGAGAGCCTTGAGACTATGTTTGCTCTTGCGAGCCGGTCCCGTAGTTACCGATTCCAACGTCAAACAAGGAATTGAAGTGTTTGGAATGATTCAGTTTAGCCAACATTCGAACTTAGTTTGTTTTGCCGCTTCAGAGATTGGGAAAGTTAGCGTATTGACAATTGAGCGTCATTCGGCAAATGTGATCACTCTGAAAGAAGAGTTTTGAAAAACGCGTCTCAGCATAAAATGTATACCCAGTAAAAGTAGTACTATTCAACGAGCCTTAATCGAAGTCCAAATTGCAAGATTACGAATCGGCCATACTTTTTCTCTCATTTTCATTTAATTTAAAAATCTCATGTTCCATTCTGCTCTCTATGTCAACATACCCCCTAACAATCGACCACATTTTATTACCTTGCCCAAAAACCTATGCTATACGCATCAAAATTCAAAATTCAAAATTCCCTCCCTCATAACATCCATCCTTTCAGCTCAGATAATCCAATAGTAGTCACCGAAATTTTAAAACTCTTTAAGCAATTTTTAAAAATTTAAGGTTTCCTGGTCCCCGACGTAAATAGCCTGGTTGCTGATCGTCGTAAATTAAGTAACTAACATATTGAACCTTGATCGATTGATTAATTTCTCTGGATACTACTCTGGATATGTTTTGCAGTGTTTGAGAGGTATTCTTCGAGCACCTTCGGAGGGTTATTCCCGCAGCCGTACTGGAACAACAGGAACAACTACAACTCATGGCCCTACCCGTACACCCCTGGTTTCCAGCCGAACCCCGGCTACAACCCTGCTAACCCGTACGATGCGCAGCCATACAACCCGTACTACCCTTACAACTACTTCGGAAGTTCCTACGGCAGCGGAGGCAACTACGGATCCTCTGCTCCCATTGGTGCTATAGGCTCTGCTAAACCGGGCACATCCAAAATTTCCAAGACTTAAAAAGTCGACTGATGCGAAGTTTCTTGTAAAATAACGTAAACCGGTAAAATGTGTAAATAAATTATACTAATTTTGTAATAAGTGTGACCTTTTCATTTGTTTAACAATAAGAATCATTTCGACGGTGAAACCAACAGACCACGTACATGGGCGTAGCTAGGGGGGTCCTGGGGGGCCTGACCCCCCATCCCCCC